GATCAAACTGTCAAACTAGACAGAGCTGATCAAATATGAATCAAGATTCTATTTCCTATTTTAGTGTGCTGTCTCTCGTATATCTGTAATATGAGAACGTGTGTGACCAGGAGAGCCGCCATTGTTTCCCACTAAGGACAAGTCAAAACTGCGCCACAGTTGGCTGCCAAAAACCGACATAGCAACGACCATAATGCCAAACTCGAGGTTCCAAAACGGTACTCCATAAACCAATGGTTCTGATTCAAGGGTTCTCTTTTATTTAACCTGTGTGTGATAAACAACTAAAAACAGCATGTTCTGTACATGTAATATATGTAGTATATGCCATGACATTAATTCATACATTTTCCTTCTACAGTTGAAAATAGTCAGACATGTGACGCTGATGCAGCACACATTTAAAAGACTGATCCCTCTTAGTCATATAATGCAGATTAAATAGTTGAAGTCATTCAGTACAGCTTAGATTTCCTTTGTCTTTTTTGTCTCATGAAAAGCTTTCAATGATCTTTAAGAGCAAAAGCATGAATTAGTGGAAGTAAGCAGCAAGCAGGCTCCGTTAGTAGGTGCTGTGTGCTTCTGTTACAGCACACAAATACCTATTTACACATACAAATGTCAGTTTAATGCTAATCAACAGCAACACCAAACAATCAAATACAAAGCCAAGTCAGAGGGTGTGTTTCAGTCCAGTATTATTGTTCCAGGCTTGACTGACAGCTGTCCTAGTATTTGACACTTCACACTGATTTCCTCCTCTTGCCAAAGACGTTGTTGATGAGTTTGACCATGGACTTGGAACCGCTGGGGCGTCTCCTGCGCTCCTTGGCCTTGCTGCCCAGGCTAGCGTTTTGCACCATCTTGGAGAATATGAGGGCCACCTCCTGGTAGTGGTCAGCTGCAGACAGCTCGTAGAACTGGCAGTGAAACTCAGCAGCCAGACACTGACCTTCGTCACGCCGCACCTCTCTCATGTGGCAAAGGTCCTGTTTGTTACCCACTAAAAATATGAGCGAGTCCACATCCCTGTAGGTCAAAAGCAGAGCAGGGGCACACGATCTTTGTAAACTGAAATATGGTGGTTTTCACAGGTTTTGTAAACATGCATGCAAAAGCCATTATTATGTTATAGTCATCTTAGCCCATACCTTTTGGCAGTTCCCAGGTGTAGCTCTCTGATGAGATGGACTATGGCTTTAGCAGTAAGGAAGGACGAGCGGTCACTGATATCATAGACCACAACGAAACCATCAGCCCAGTGGATCTGGTTGTTTAGAGTAGACTTACCCTCACAAGGCTGGAAAATAGAGAAAACAATATTTAAAAGGCACACTAGGTAAGATTTAGAGCCTCATACAAACAACAATCGATCCCATCATCTGTTAAGGCCCACTAGAAGTGGGTGAAAGTGGTATTTCTAAAACCCTGCGTAGAGTAACTGCGTCAAGAGAATTAGAGTTATGCTGTGTTTCAGGTACTGGCACCTTTTCTGGTCTAATTCAGGCACTGTACATAGTGACAAGACTCAGGCTGGATGCAGTGGTTCAGCCCCATGCTTTACTGGTTCTCTAAAAATAATATGGATGATACTGGCTGGCTTTTGCTTTACACTCATTCGGTCCTATTGTAATTAAAGGTCTTGGGCCCACGGACTGTGTGGCTGTCTCCACCTGCTATTTTGGTTCATGTTTGTGCAGCAGCACAAAGTGCAAATGGGTTAAGAGAGCAGGATATAGTGGGAAGGGAGCAGACCCCTATGCAGCCTCTGATGTGTGTAGTCTGCTTCCTGGGGCCAGTACTGTAATGTCAATAGATTCTGACCAGAGACTGTTTCTTTATACATCAGCCACTTTTGGAAAAAACTTCAGAATCGCTTGTGACCGGCACAGAGAACTGCGCTTTTAATATGAACAACTAGGCTTGCACGAGAACTGACCTATCACAGTGCTTCTGCTCCTTGCCATAGAATCTGGAGTTACATATAGTATGGAACAAGAGCTTATTCAGTTATAACGAGCAAAGACCAATAGGGAAAATCCAACACTCGATCGACTAATGGTGTAACTTCATCCCTCAGTAACTCACCAAGTAAGTCACAGACTTTCCTGTTCATAAAATCTAAGTTAAACTTGGAGATAAGTGGCACAGGTGGATGTGCTGTCCAGGACTATGCCACCATGCCACCTCTTTGTAATAAAGAGATCTAGTAAACTAACCTGAGAGCAAGGGTCATAGAGCTCAAGATTAATCTGCCTCCCATCCATAGACAGACGCTTCCTGTATATGCACTCTGGAAGAAAAAGGGAAGACAGCAGTCAGCAGAGAAAAGCATTATGAAACAACTCACTTCTGCATTAGCTCCCTGCTTACACAAAATACCTCAAAAAAGTAAAATAATGAGATTAAAAAATAACAGAGAAAACACGATTAAAAGTACAATTGTCAGTTGTTAGTCAGCTCAGTCAGTGTTTTCTATAATAAGCACATTATACAGAGAATTACGTGACCAGATTATATAATTATAATCTCTCTAATGGCTGTGGTGAAAATTCAGCACATTTGTACATTACCAAGTTGATTCTAAAACAGTCAATATTGACTAAGCCAGCAACAGGGAGGTATCAGACTTCTTCTTCTGGTGGGACCAGGCTAAAAGCTGATCGCACCCAGCCGAGTAACCCAGTCCATATGTGTCAGGTGAACCACGCACACACACACATATATATATTAGGGGTGTCACGATTCTCCAAATCCTCGATTCGATTTAATTTTCGATGTTAAAGTCACGATTCGATTCGATTTTCGATCTTTTTTTAATATTACTATTATGCATTCCTTATATGTTATTATCTTTTTTTGGCCTTTTCCTATTTTGTTTCGGGGGGCTTTTATTTTGAAACTGCCTTTTTATTTTGAAACCATTCCAACCGCGAGGTTGTAAACAGAACATTAAACAGAGATGTGAACATAGTGAAATGAAACAACACAGAATGATGATTTGATTGTTTCAGCACATCCGACGAGACCCAAGGTTAGTGTTCATGGAATATGAACTTATCAATGTGCATTTTTAAGCCTTAAAGTAATTTTGGACTGTAACTAGATCATATTTTCACTTGCTCAGTTGAGTAGGCTAAGTTAGTGTTAATTGACGTGAATGAACGACAAAATACTTCCACACTGGTGATTTCAGAGTAGCACGAGGGGCTTCGATTTCGGTCGGTTGATGTGTATTTTTTAACTGGCTGCAGCTAAAATTAGAGGAGTGTTGACGCCGCAGTTCAGCACGTGTGTGTGTTTTTGCGTCTTGGCATACATGCTGGACGTGACATTGGGGGTGTGGCTGCATCGTCGATTCTACCTTTGAGTTCGAAATTCGAGATTGAGATGTAATTTCGATCGATTTCAATCACCCCTAATATATATATATGAGATTTAGAGATTTAAAACATCAACAGCAAAGAACTATTAGCTATGCAAAGATATAGAGGAGTCAAGGTGTCCTGAGCAGAGAATGAAGCCACACTCCCTCTGCCTATGTTGTCATCGCAGCCTCTCTGTGGTTTGTTTACAGGGGAGGTCTGGCAGTGCGTGCATGTTAGTGCATGTTAGTCCCTCTGTTTACAACTGAGAAAAACAACTGAAACTGCTGTTTTTTTCATCTACATCTGTGAATTAAGGATTTATTTTCCCGCCAAACCAGAGTTGTGATTGTTGGAACAGTGGGAAGACTAACAAAGATGGTTTTGGTGAGTTCATTTTGTTTCTGTCCACTTTGAATGAAGTTACAATGTTACGATGATATCCAAGGTAAAATTACCGTATTTGTAAATGGTAAATGGTAAATGGACCTGTACTTGTACAGCGCCTTTCTAGTTTCTCGACCACTGAAAGCGCTTTTACACTACATGCCACATTCGCCCTTTCACACACACTAACTCAGTGATTTAAGTCTGTGAAATAAATTTTATTTTTAACAAACCAGAGTTGGTAATTGTTGGAAAGATTAACAAAGAGTTAATTGGAGTTATTTGGTGATTTTTTTTTTATTATTCTTTCCAGTTCGAAGTGTATTTTATGAATATATGCTATGCATTGTTTTGAACCAAGATGCTGGTGTATGGAGCTATTATTGTAGCAAAACTATTTACAAATGTGTGTGGAGAGTTATGTAACTGTATCTCAATCCGTGTGTGCGTAATCAGATCTGTGAATGTGTAAAATGATCTGTAAATATGTATTGAGATTTGTGAATGTGTACAGGAAGGTGTTTAGAATCCGTGTGTGCATAATCCGACTTGTAAAAGTGTTAAAAATCGACAAATCTGTATTCAGATTTGCAAATGTATTGAGATTTCTAAATATATAGACACATCTGTAAATGTGTATATAGATCTGAAAATATGTAGACATATCTGTAAGTGCAGACATACATATAATTAGCTGAGAAG